AAACACCAAAATGGGGTCTAAAAATGAACCAAAGCTTACATATGCATTGAAAAGCTAGTGTCCATATAATATATCCCCTAACAGCATTTACTAGCTGCCCTTATTTGTTTTAATCATGAATCACCTTAAGAGCTGCTGCAAGATATTTTGCTCTTTGTTCTGTTTGTCTTATTTATACCAGACACAGATGTGAAACAATACATCTGTCCCTCTTGGCAGCAAAATAATCAATAGAGTTGTAAAGCAGGGCCTAATAGTATTATAAAAACTGCATTCCAATCAAACATAATCCACTGTTTCAACCTGTTCTGACTGACAAGTACTCAAGTCTTAATTCAGGTGGAACTTTTTACAAACACTGCTTTTGAAAGACAATTGAAACAAACAGCTGTAAATGATTTCCTGCATTAAATTATATGTAAAACCTGGGAGTAGTTTGCTGATATATACTCCGATCTTGGTTCTAGTCCCCATTTTAGTGCTGAGCACAACTTGCCTCTGAGCTTGCCACCTGCAATCACTATCAATATGTTTGATGTGTCATCTCACCTCTATGAAATTATGCTGTTTCAGGTATAAACAGGGTTACTGGTTATCCAATTTGATTGGCTTTATCATTTAACTTCTTCAGTCAAGGTTATATGTAACTGTCTATCAACATCAGTGTCAGAGAGCTTGAGGGCAATAAGCTCATATGTAAATAGACCCCAAAATTAAATGCATAAATCCACACTAATGTTTCTATAGAAGGGATTCTAACTCTTACCACTGCCTTCTCAACACAGCAAGAGAGACTCAATGTTTCTCAAGAATTTAGAATGATCATGTCCCAACTTTTGATTCATATCCATACCTTTTTATTTAAGCGGCATTTTAACTGTTAATATTATTGGATTTTATCTGGCCAGGGCGGCTTATTTTATATTGTATTTTTGTATTTTTAATCTGATGTTTATATTTTTTAATTTATTATTATAATTATTTTTAATTTATTATTGTAAGCCGCCCCGAGGCTTCGGCAAATGGGGCGGCATAAAAATGTTTTAATAAATAAATAATAAATAATAAATCCATAAGCCATAGTTGGATACCATATAGTAATTTCATTATTATTTCAACTTTATACATTTGAAATAGTGAGCATGCATAACTTCCCCTTTTTGAGAAAAAAGAAAAGGAAAGTCAAGCCTAAATAGTTATAACTGCTCACCTGCTCAATACACCGACAATCATGAACCAATCACACATTTTGAATCCTCCATACCTTTGTCTTTTGATGATTTATCATCAGACTCTCACACAAGCAGTATTTACAAAACTGCTTCATAATCCTAAATGAGTCAACCATCTGCATCTAACAGTTTCAGGCAATGATAATCAGGTGAGTATAAAGTGGGATCCAGTTTATTTATACATAAATGGAATGGCTGTGGTACTAATACATACCTCTAGTCTTACTGGGGTACTGGTGCATTTGATAAATCTCCCTCTGGGCTACAACAAACTTTAAAGAAGTATTTTTTTTTTCAAAGGTAAAACAGTCTCCTACCCATAGAAATTGGAGGTTTTCCCATAATAGCTCTATCAATAGAAAGCCAAATGCTAATTTAAGTTATACAAACACTGCATAAACTTTCACTTTCTGGTGCTTTGAATATTTAACTGCTGAATTAGAACTATTCCATGATCCAGTGTAGAACAACTCTTTTAAAAACTCATCTGTTCTACTCCTATATTATTTTCTTCAATCTAATCCATTAATTTGAGTTTCAAGTGCATAGCATATAGTTTCTCTATTATAGATAAAAGGCTTATAGAATAATAATTTGTTGGCTCTATCTTACTACTTTTCTTATAGATTGGAACAATGTTTGTCACTGTCCAGATAGATAAATCAAGCCTAATTCTGTCAATCTTAAAACAGAGATGTTAAAGATATTCCCCAGCACTCACCATTTTTCTTCAGGAGCTTTGATGGTATAAAATCACACCCTGGCCTTACCTATTTACAGACTTTTTAAAATTAAGATTTATCACTTCTAACTCTGTTTAAGCTTTCCATGATAGCAAATCTTCCATTTCCCATTCTAATAATACTCCCTCTTTTTATTTGGCTAACACATTAAAAATAGAGTAGAACTTATTTTCTCAGGCTATTGCTGATATACAGCAACCCTTGACTCCATTATTCCCTGAAAAGCCCTTCAAAGTATAAATGAGAAATTATTATCATCACTAATGTGTGCACTCCTATCAACTGCAGCCACACTTACTTTTCCATCATCTTCTTTTTTAAACAGTCATGGCTTTGTACTCTTTTTTAAGCTGGAAGTAGGACACTGGCAATATTTAGTTGCTTTCTATTCTTCCTTTGCTACCTAGCTTCTTTTGACAGAAAGTTCCACAATATCAAAATTAATCTGTCATATGAAATAAAGGATCCATTCAATAGACTAGTTTCCACATTGGTTTTTTACTTCTCTCAACCCTGAAACATTCAGTGCCTTACACATATTTTTATTCAAGAATATGGCCCATTTTAGATATCTCATATTTAGGCATTTATGTACCTAACACCAATGGAACTGTCTGCACTGGTACTTGGACTGAACAAAATAAGGAGTCCAATTCAGTAACTGGGGGCTGATGGCCACTAAAATGGTTTGATCCCACCTGAATGTACTTAACACTACACTTGGTAGCAGCAGAGATCATTACATAATTTATCACACTGCCTGTTTATGCATAGTAAGTGTATTTTATCGTCTTCAGTATCACCTGTTAGAACCATCAAGCTTGTCTTTTGCTTATATTGAATTAGCCTGATTCCCACAGCATTGATAATTATATCTTTAGAGTGCCTTTCACTAGTACCATATACATCCCCATTCATCAGAACTTAAGAGATACAAACTGAAAAGTCATATTCACCTATCCAAGCATTAGCATCTCCTATAAAACATAAGTAGATGAATAGAAACATTCTTATACTAAAACTACTCTTTCAATTCATCCCATTAATGCATATTCTCTTTCTTAATTTTTTTTGGTTCTGCATCTAAATTTATCATCAGCAATTTAGAACACTGCATTTCAAACAACTGTGCAATTCTTATTGATTCCTGCAATGTAAGAAGTGTAAGTTTTGCAGTCAGGGTGTGTGCTACAATATATTAAGTGTAATGAAAGGCAAAGGTCAAACACACAGATCTGACTGAGCAACTTGTCTGCATCCTGAGGCCACCCCAACCAATAATCATCCTATAAAGCTGAACAAAACACTTTAATTCCACCTCTAATTATGGAATTGTATTAATTGATCCAGGTTAAAATAAAGACAAGTAACTTTATTTTCACAACATCATGCAAAGTTATCAAAGCACACTACTGTTTTTCACCATTTCTCTCCCTGACCAGGAACCACTTAGAAAAACTCTGCTGGATGACACTGTGTTGGTGGAAAAGAAGTCCCTCTTTGCTACCCTCAGTGACATAGAACAGCCTTGATAATGATGGCACACCTGTGTTCTAAATATCTTCCCTCCTGTTTCATTAGACTCAGTTCAAGTGTATGCCAGGGAGCTATCCAAGCTCTATTCAGAGGGAGGTACTTGAGAATAATTGTATCAATTTTCCTAGTGCACTCTCTAGAGTAACTAGGGCTTTAACAGGAGTACCAACAATGCCAGCAGAAAAATTCCTCAGAGTCCTCTGGAGTCCATCAGAATCCATTAACTGCCAAGGCAGATCATTTTCAATAGCCCCTCACACTTGCAAAAGGTAAAGTCTGCTAAGACTCAGTAGGAAGTGATCTGACTATGAAAAGGAGATATATGTTAATTCCCCACTTTCATATCACCATCTTCCTGTCCAGTTTGGAAAACTAAAATGCGTATCCTCCTACATGTATTAGGCTGTGAATATGCTAAATTTGTGCCTGGCTGCAACAATGAAATAGATGAGGGCTAACAAACTGACAAGACTGAGATTATCATTATGATTCATTACATTTCTATACTACCCCAGTGGAAGCTCTCTGTGTGGTTTACAACATTAAGTTACAACATTTAGATTTCAATCAGGGAAGCTGTTAGTGGGTGGGTCTTCTGAATAGATGAAGGAGATTCAACCTGTTCTAGATAGGGATGCCCTCCTCTTGAAGGTGCAGGTTCATAGTTTTGGGGTCCTTGAGCCATTTTACAGATTACTTCAATGTACTTTATATGGGGCTGCCCTTGAAAACTATTTGGAAGCTGTGCAAAATGCAGCAGCCAGATTTAAAAAATTTTCAGAACACATAACACCAATTCTGACCTATTTGCATTGGCTGCCCATATGATTCCAATGCAGTTCAAGGTGCAAGTTTTAACCTAGAAAAGTCCTACACATCAGAAACATCTCAGGTTAATATTACCAGTTTTCTTTCCTTAAATGAATCCACTACGCAAGATTTTTAAAGCATCACTTGAATCCACTGTTAAAATTTTCAATCTGTTGTCTTTAAATTCTGCCATTAAATGTTTATTAGTTTACTACATTTAGTCTTAACTGTTCACACACTTGCAGAAAATAAAATTTAAAATAAAATACTAAGCTCACTATTTGGATGACCCCATTCACTGCTCCCTTCTTACTGCTATGCATATAAATGCAACTGTTTCACTTCATCCCGTATCAATAGACACTACATCTGTCTTTCCCAGCCTGACGCCCTCCAGATATTTCGGATTACACATCCTAACATTCCTGACCACTGGACATGCTAGGTGTAGCTGATGGAATTTGAAGTCCAAAAAATCTGGAAAGCACTGGAGTGGACAAAGCAGACGTAGATTAAACTATTCCCCAGATACATACTAGTCTTTCCCTTCGCTAAACATACCTTAATAACAGTACTTCTAAATAGGAAGGCCTCTAACGGGTCTCCTTAAAAACGATGCACTGAACCGTCACACGTCATGTCTAGCGACGAACAAGGTCATCGAAGCCGACCCCCTCACCTGCGTACGCGGCCTTCGCGGCCTCGGGTCAAGCGGTCCGAGAGTCTGCCGAGCATGGCGGCCAAAACAGGCCTCCCCCGGGGCAAATAACCCAGCAGTCGCCGCCATAGCACTGGAGCCTCAGCTACTACTACTATCGCCGCCATGGAAACCCGACTATTTCCGTTTCCGGGTGAGAGAGCCGCCAACGCTCCGCCGCTTCCGAGCGCGGAGGGGAAATGCTGCTGCTGCGCCGCGGGCGCACAGTTCAATGCGTTTCTGCAATAGTGGCGGGTTTGTGGAGACCTCCAAGGACTACAGGGATCCTCCTATCCCAGAAAAAAATGCCCTGCTAAGTGGACGGCCTTTATTTTTGCCAACTGCTGTAAGAAATAGCGGAGAAGGGTAACCATTATGTCTTTGGAGCGGTGGTTCTTTATGCTGCTGTTGCATTCCTCCAATATCAAAAGATCTCAAGCTGCTTGACCTATTCTACTCTATAGGACGCTGTTCCTACAGCTCTGAGTTTTTTCACAAAGCCTATAGTTTAAAATGAGAATGATTATGTGATGGCGGCGATGGCAGCTTTTATTCTAAGGGTTCAGTAACCTGGGGGCAGTGGGATTTCTGAGTAAAAGCCTGTGCAGAAGTTACTGTACAGTCAGGTGATCTCTGTAACCACTGCTCATACCAATACTTTATTGCATGAGCAATGTAACAATTGAGATGGACCCGCATGGAATGGCTACTTTTGTGACCAGAAAAATCAGGTTTTTTTCCCCCTAATCATGGATGTGGCTGCTGCAATCTTGACGTGTCCCCACGTGAATTTATACACAGCAAACAAGTGGACACCCTTCACAATATGACAACACAGGCTCAAAAACTCAGCAGGAAGCATCAAGCAGTTTTGATTTTTACCAGGTGAGAAATGCAACGCAGCTCATTTTTCACATTGTTGGTTGCAGGGAATGCCCTAAAGAAAGAAGTTTCTTCTCAAATGCACTCGGCATGAATAAACAGCACAATCCTATGCATGTTTATTTGAAACTAGTCCCACATTGTCAATGGGGTTTACTCACAAGTAGGTGTGCAGATTGCAGTTTGAGTATTTAAACCTATGCTTGCTTAGACAAAAAAAGTCTTACAACTCCCAGTATTCCTCAGCCAACCACTCCTAAACAAGTATCGCACCCTTAGGCACTCTGAGAATTGTTTTTCTTTCTCTCTTCCCTGAGTGCAGTGACCTTCCTCTTCATTGATTTGGCACCTCCCATCAGGTGCACCCAACATACCTAGGCATCAGCAATAGTCGTAGCAGAAGACCTCAGAAGAACACCAGATTAGGGAAAGCTTAGTTTAAATATTAAAATTAAACTGATAAATGGCCTGAAATTATGCATTTAGGCCAGACAGTTAGGACACGCATTAAGAACATAAGAGGAGCTATGCTGGATCACACTAAGGGTGCTGTAGTTTAGCTTTTTGTGAATATAATGGCCGTCTGGCTGCCCACTGGAAGCCCCAAGCAAGCCATGAGTGCATCAGCACCCTCCTGCCCATGTTCCCCAGCAACTGGTATCCACTGGCACATTGCCAGTGCTGTCAAGTTGTCTCCACGATGTAGGTTGTCCAAAATGTCCTGTCCTTGGCAGCCCTGCTCAGCTGTTGTAAACTCCAGGCCACGGAGTCCTGACTGGCTATATTGTACCTCTAGTGTCAGATAGCCAATCAGCTCTAACGGCCATTGACAGCCTTCTAATCCATGAATGTATGCAATCCCCACTAAGAGGTGGAACTAGGGTAAGACGGCCAGCCCACAGTTCAGAACACCTGCCTGTTTCTAGCAGCTGTGTAGCTCTGAAAAGGAGGAGGAACAGCCTCTCTCCACACATCCTCCCCACTACCAGTCAGCCCAAGGTATTTTCTGACTGTGGCACTGTTAGGCGCTGGCAAGATTTCTCGGTTTTACCTAGCAACTCTAAGCAGTGCAGATGGTAAGAACTAGGTGTGTCAAGATCTGAATCTGTAGGTGTCCTTATAACAGCAGTTGGGTATGCAGCAGTTAGTACATGGAAGTGTTTAGTTCTGTACCAGCCTTCCTTAACCCTTGTGCCCTCTGGATGGATTAGATTGCAGCTCTCAGCATTCATTCCTTTCATTTATACATTGAAAACTGTTTTAAAGAATCAGTCTCAAGAACATCAGCCCCAGCCATCATGCCCAGGGATCAGGAATGATGGGCTTTATAAACCAAATATCTGGAAGACACCAGACTAGGGAAGGCTGTCCAATGCAACACAATCCTTTATCTACTGATTTCTGAATATCAACCCTTTTTTTTTTTTTTTGAAAGGGTAGGAGCAGGCTAGACCTTTTTTGCTATCCAATTGGGCAACTCTAGTGAGTGGGCAATGGCATGGAGAGAGCACTCTGGAGGAGTTAAGAGCAGAGGCTAATAAGAACTGTTAATATAAGAACTGCATATTTCTGATATTTTCCTTGCTAGCATCCATTTATATGGAACTCTCACTATTATTAATATTACTTTGCATATATATCCCAACTTTCTTCTAGCGAAGAACCCAAGGTTCTCCTTCCTGCCAATCTGTCCTCACAAAGGCATTCCTGTCAGGTAGGTTAGGTTGAGTGACAATTACTGTCCCAAAGGCACCTAGTGGCCTTCGCGGCTGAGGGTGGCGTAGAACCCAGATCTCCTGCATCCCAGTCCAGAACTCTTAACCAGTACACCATGCTGGTTCTCAGTGCTCTGAATCACCACTAACATGTTGTGTGCCTTCCCTTGATAAAACATTCTTATACATTATAAATCAAATGATTTGCATATTTATAATTAGTTTGCTTGAAAGAAGGAATACCAGCTATGATCAGATAAATGGAATTTCCTCAACATACACGGCCAAATTGCCTCAGTCCTTTATGGCCAAATCCACATACTCTCATTGAGTTCAATTAGCTTACACTCAAGGACTGTGCAGGGATGGCAGCTGTGTAGTTTGAGCCTATGTATGCCTATTT